CCCCCACCCCCCCGCCATTGAACTCCCGACGACCCTTCATTAGCATATTTAAATCACTGAGAAAAGGGGAACGAGGCGGATCCAGCCACTGAAGGGAAGGCGGTTGACGAGCACGCGTTCCAGCTGCGCGCATGCGCGTTGCTGCTCCAGCCGGGTGGGGGTGCTGCTGCAATGACATAGTGGCCCCCAGCTGCCCCGTTCTGGGAAGGGAGGAAGGGATCCATCGGCATATTTAAATCACTGAGAAAAGGGGAACGAGGCGGATCCAGCCACTGAAGGGAAGGCGGTTGACGAGCACGCGTTCCAGCTGCGCGCATGCGCGTTGCTGCTCCAGCCGGGTGGGGGTGCTGCTGCAATGACATAGTGGCCCCCAGCTGCCCCGTTCTGGGAAGGGAGGAAGGGATCCATCGCAAGGGCGGGGGCTTTGCGGGGCGACTCCCCCTCCCCCCCTCTCCGGCGAGGGAGAGGCAATTGCTAGGCGTGGGGCGTTGCAGCTTGTCTTTGGGAGAGAAGCGGAGGGGGATAATCAGGACGGATGCCTTGTGTGAGGACGGCGGGGCCCGTATTTTAGTGGCTGGGGCGCTACTGTCTTTCTCTTCAGCGGGGGAGTCTACGAGTTCGGATGGTCTCACATTGAGACAGCCTTGCATGCCTGGAGTGCTGTGGTTTTGACCTTAAAAGTACTGCACTTTTCTTCTAGTTGGATCCTGGGGAACTGAGGGTACTGCACTCTTCCCCCGCCCCCTTAAAGTAATAGTAACCAAATGCATGGTTTCTGCTTTCAGCACCTCCACTATAAAATAGTTCCAGCTCCCCTACTTGGATCTGAAATGTGACACTAACTTGTCGAATAAAAACAAGACTTCCACCTCACAAATCACTCAAGACCCACTCAAAGAACTTCAAGAACTAGTAAGATTTTGCCTCTCTTTAGTTTAAAGACGTCAAGGTGGCCAAGCCAGGCAATAGGGCCACAAGATCAGAGGCAACAGAAACAAAGTTGTGACACTCCCTTTCATTTGGTGGTGAGTTACACTACTGTGCACACCAGAAGATTGATTATTTACAGACCAATGTGTTTCGTTAGGTTTTTAATGTATGAACAATTGTGTGAATATTGCACAGGCAGAAACATCCTAATTATAAATTAGGCACAGATTATGTTTTACAGTTTGTGCTTTGCCTACCCATATGCAAGACACATAACCACAGACATGGAGCACCATGACATTTGAGGTACCAAATTGCCTCATATTTCATGGTGCCTTATGCAAGCTGGCTGCTATGTGTGAGCTCCGGCAGACTCCGTCCCCTATGGGCTGCATCCGGCTCCTACTGACCAGGCAGTAGCAAGCAGTATGGCTACGTCTACACGGGCCCCTTTTCCGAAAGGGGCATGCTAATTTTCAACTTCAGAATAGGGAAATCCGCGGGGGATTTAAATATCCCCCGCGGGATTTAAATAAAGATGTCCGCCGCTTTTTTCTGGCTTTTAAAAAAGCCGGAAAAGAGCGTCTACACGGGCCCCTTTTCCGAAAGGGGCATGCTAATTTTCAACTTCAGAATAGGGAAATCCGCGGGGGATTTAAATATCCCCCGCGGGATTTAAATAAAGATGTCCGCCGCTTTTTTCTGGCTTTTAAAAAAGCCGGAAAAGAGCGTCTACACGGGCCCCAATCCTCCGGAAAAAATTGCCCTTTTCCGGAGGCTCTTATTCCTACTTCAAAGTAGGAATAAGAGCCTCCGGAAAAGGGCACTTTTTCCGGAGGATCGGGGCCAGTGTAGACGTAGCCCTCTTGTCTGTGCCAGTACGGGCTGTGGCAGGCATGAAGCCTGCCTCAGGGTCCGGCTGGGCTGCTGGCTATCTAAGGTAAGGATCTACTGGCCAGAGCCTACACCTGACTTCACCTACTCCCACTCCTCCAACCTGTCCCAGGTCACAACCAAAACCCTCTGTACCACCACTCCTGCACCAGTGCCCCCTCCAAGACCTGCATCCCAATTTCCTGCCTTAGGTCACAACTCCCTCCTGATCTAGGACACAACTCAAACCTTTGCAACTGTGCCCCAAGTCACAACCTCCTCCTAGACTCTCCAGCCCCCTCCTCCAGGTCAGAATCCTTTCTTGTTCCCATATGCACTCCTGGACTCTACACAAAAATCCCCTGCTCAGCGTAATAATCCCCTCCTTCACCCAACCTTATTAACAGTTAGTCTTCCTCTCAGACCCCACACCCTCTCCTACTCCTTAGTCCCCTATTCCAAGCTCCTTTCTGCAGCCAGCCTCCATCCAAGACCTAGCACCTCCTCCATTAATATACCTATGAATCATTTTCCCTGTTACCTGGCCTCTGACATTAGCCGCTCAGATCCTCTGCTCCAAAGCAACCATGTACCCCAGTTTTCTAGTTTTATCTTAAATCACTATTGCTGTAAAATCACACAGAACTTGTGAGCACTTACATTAAAAGAAAAGTATATTTAAGAGAATATAGAGATTCTATTAGCAACGAGAGTGTGATGGAAACAAATGGATAATACAAAACAAAATTTTAAGACCCGAACCTTGGTCTGCACATATTAATTACCCTTCCTAACTAATAAAATAGGATGTACAAAAAACTCTGCACTCAAAAATAAAACAGTTTAAAACTTCAGGGCTACGTCTAGACTGGCATGATTTTCCGGAAACGTTTTTCCGTTAAAAGCATTTTAGGAAAAGAGCGTCTAGATTGGCACGAACGCTTTTCCGCAAACGAACTTTTTGCGGAAAAGCGTCCGTGCCAATCTAGATGCGCTTTTGCGCAATAGAGCCCCGATGGCCATTTTAGCTATAGGGGCTTTTTTGCGCAAAACAGTACTGTGCTGTCTACACTGGCCCTCTTGCGCAAATGATTTGCCCAAACGGGAGCAGCATAGTATTTCCGCAAGAACACTGACAATCTTACATGAGATAGTCAGTGTTCTTGCGGAAATTCAAGCGGCCAGTGTAGACAGCTGGAAAGTTTTTCCGCAAAAGCAGCTGATTTTGCGGAAAAACTGGCCAATCTAGACACAGCCTATATGTTTGATAAAACCACTGTAAAGGACTTGCAAATATGTGAATCCTTGCAGAAAAATATGGCTGGTGAAGAAATATTTTATTGTATTAACTTTATTACAAGACATGAAATTAGTTGGGAAAAGTGTGTTGATGTGTGTAGTGGCAGCACCAGGGCAATAGTTGGGGACACAGCCAGAGTTGTATCGCGAATTAAGCACCAGCAGTCACTATGTCCTTCACCGACAAGTTCTTGCCATGTTTGTACCTCTTTAAAATGTTCTGGAAAAGACAGTTAGAATATGTTTGTAACTCTTTAAAATGTTCTGGAAAAGACAGTGCAAATTATTATATACAAACTAGACCACTACAATCCAAATTATTCTGAATTCTGTGCAGAGAAGCGGGCAGCACATAGTTTTCCTTCAACATACAGAAGTGAAGTGGCTATCACAAGGGAAAGTGCTTGTTAGACTTTCTGAGTTTCATCACAAAGTATTAGTTTACTTTGTAGAACACAAACGCTGACTGTCTGATTGTCTGACAAATTACTCCTAGCTGCTGTACTTTGCAGATACATTCACCAAGATGAACGAAGTTAATCTGTCGCTGCAAGGAAGATATGTGAACATTTTCACCATAAAGGATAAAATGTTGTCGCTATTGCAGAAACTGGAATTACTTTCTTCCACTATTTGATCTGAGGAAGTGGGTCTGGCCCACGAAAGCTCATCATCTAATAAACCATCTTGTTAGTCTTTAAAGTGCTACATTGTCCTGCATTTTGCTGTAGAAGAAAAGAACATTGACTGCTTTCCTTCAGTGAAAAAGTTGTTCAGTGTATCAACTCTACTTTCAATAAAGATATTTGCAGTGACTTTGTACAGCACACGTGTGACTTGC